ATAGCTTTTCTCCCAAGGAGCAAGCGTCTTTTAATTTCATGGCTGGAGTCTCCGTCTGCGGCGTTCTTGGAGCCCAAATAAATGAAGTCTGTTACTGCTTCCATTTCTACCCCTTCTATTTGCCAGGAAGGTTAATAATAGGTTTTATTATTTTTCTCCAATGCAGGTACGTTGGGGAAAAAGTCTGTTCATTCAAATGGAAGTGACTTAATTGGCACTGACAGTCTTTTTCCTAACATGAGTAAAAGTGATCCAGTTGTGGTTCCTTCAACGGACAATAAAATGGAGCTACCCGCTTGGACAACAAACGCATCTCCTCATGTCAACCAGATGCACACGAATGTTAGTATACTTAGGGGAACCTCTCAGGTTGTCCCTCAGACTCCAGCAGTGAAATCAGAGGAGGCAGCAGAAGAGCTGTGGTCCACCAACCCATCCGTCAAAGTCATAGGCAAGACGTCTTCTGTCCCTACGGTGACACCTACCAAACCATCTGCCGTGCAAGATGTGGGCTTGAAAAAAGGTAAGTTTATGTTAATATGCATTCGTCATTAGGACACAAGAAAGTGGTGTGATGATTGGAGAGATTCTTAGACGTACAGGTACTGTCACTTAACAAAGGTGGTTTCCATAGCATCTCTTTGCTCATTTGGGTTAGGCTTTGACAAAAGCTACTTATTAATATTGAGCCCCTGGCAGTCAGATGCCTAACTGGTTACTGCAAACTTGTTTATACAAGCAAAGGTGAGCGATTACAGATCCCAACCAGGGCAGCAGCAGACGAAGGTGTTTATTTTTGGAAAAGTCAACAGCAGAGGTATGCCGTCACTTAGCAGGTCCCATTAAGCGTGTTAAAATACATTAAGCAAGTTGAGCATGAAGCATTCAGCTGCTTTCACTTCTTAAAACTGTCTGCTTATTCAAGAGTGTTGCTTCGTTGGCAGCAAGTCAGCCATGCTGAAATTAATAGCTCCAATCCCAAAATAATTAGTCTCACTTAACTCTAATTGAAGCAAGCCATATTGCTTTAAACTGAATTTTAGCATAGGTAAGTACATTTGAAGTAGCCCTTTTCTTTTGGTAGCCTGCATCCTTTACTTTGATATAAGACTGGGACATGTTTTCACACTAGTGGTGTTTAAATTCAGAAATGGATTTTGAGAACAGCTCTGAAAGAGTCAAAAATATCACTGTAAATTGAATAAAACAGTACTTTATTTTACTTTGGGAAATATTCATCATTAAAGAGAATGTCCTTGTCATTTTGATTTCTTTGTATGGTATTTCTTAGTACAGTTCAACATTACCCACCCACAGACGCAGACATTTTGCCAAACAAAGCAGAAAAAGAAGGAACTGCGGAATTGATGCACCAAATTTTATAGTGTTGTAAATAACTGAAGCAGACAGGGTGAAAAAAGGAGCTCTGCTGTCCAAGTAGAAACCCTGCAGTAAAGAGGCTTAGGTCTGGCTTTTACTGAACTTATTTGGGGTTTTTCACAGAGTGTAAATTTTAATGCTTGTTTTATTGCTTACTTACTACTTCCTCATGCTTGCTTTGTTGAGGTGACGCTCTTATTTCCTCTTCTATACTGTAATCATCTGGTTCCACTTGATCACCGTCCGCATAAATTCAGATGTTTGTTTCTTGGTGACTTGATACTGTGCATATATCTCAACAGAGGTTTAATTGATCCATTATATGAAGGACACACATACTGTTAATTGAGAAAGAGTACAGGAGATGGGCTGCATTGCTCTGAAGGGCTACAGATTTCTCTAATGAGTAACGAAATGTTGAACTTGCTCATAAGTGTTCAGTTTCATAATGAGATTTGGGCGTTGCATAACATGGCAAATAGCTTGAAACCTCTAATAAAAGTGCATTTGCTGTGCAACTAGTTTGGTTGACTGAGAAACAAAACATAAGGACACCCAGGCCACAAAGCTCTTTTTATCTAACACTACTTTCATTTTTAAGATGTAGAGTGAGTTAACATGTGGTTCTAATTCAAGCCATAAGGCAATATGTTTGGATTTGGGCTTAACACGTTTCACAAAGTAGGCTATTGTGGTTTGTGTACCTTAGTTTGTGACTTACTGCAGTATGTGAGCCCAGCCTCTTCTGGCTTCTTCAACAAGCCATGGCTTAAAACATTTGATCATCACAGAAAGTTCACCTACAGAAGTTCATATCTGACTGGAAACTCATTGTGGCAAATAATTCTTACAGATATTTTGGGTAATGCCTGCCGATTCTCACATGTGTTATTTCAGTTTCATGTATAACTTGCTTGTCATTCCGTTGAGTTACATGCAAGGACAGTTAAACAGCACATATCAATTAGCTATGACTTCTTACCACTATACAAAGTTACAGACCTTTTAAAAATATTTCCAATGCTTTATTCATAATGGCACAAAATTGAGTGCGTGTATGTGTGTGTATGTGTGTGTGTGTATGTGTATACCCACACACACACACACACACACATATAGGCATTGTTGAGTACAAGAATAAATTTCTTTCTTAACTCTTCTCCCCAGTTCTTTCTCCCTGCAGAGCTCCTTTCTCTAATAGGAGAAAGCAGCAAAATCGGAGGGAGTGAAAGAAAACAGAGACAATTAATGAGAATTTTCCATAACCTTTTGAAGCAGCTCTCTGTATTACTTCAAGATGTCTGTTATGTGTATAGGATAGCCCTGTGTTTGCAGTGTTGTAATTCCTTTGGTAACACGGAAATGTAAAATAAAGGATTTATCTAAGGTGAAGGAAGAAAAGCAGGGATTGGTGCTCAAGGCTCAAGAAGCAGAGGATGCAGAATAAGTGTGCAGGAGAAGGGTGGTCATGCTCCCTTCATCCAGGTTCTGGTACCATTCTTCCATGAGAGTGACGATGGATTTAAAGATGCTTCTTGAGGAGTGGGCAGACCAGAGCCCCTTTCTGTGCGGCTAGAACCTCCCTTCCCCTCAAGGAGGTGATGACCAAGCCTGGATCCATCTCTCAGTCTCCTCCCTGCTACCTTTAACAGTCAGGTGAGGTAGGAGTCCAAACCTCAAGGGATTAGCCTCACTGAATACAGTGGGACTTCCCAGTCTGTATATGAGTTTGCACTGAATTGCGCAGGTAATAGCTACAGTGATAAAGCAAACGCTCATACAAATTTCATTTCAGTCAATGTAATGTGATAATGATGGTCATTACACCTGCTAATGTACATTTATAATTAGTCAGTTAGCTACACTGACTGTTCTAGTCCTGCAATAAGTAAATAGCACTTAGCAGAGACTCTAAGCATAGATGAGATATGTTATGTTACTCAACAATTTATTTTAAACTTTAGCAATCTGCAATAAATAAATAAACAAACAAACAAATAAATAAATAAATAAAATCTAAGGTCAACAAATACTTATGGATCACTTGGCTAGAAATCATGGACCAGATAGAAGTCTGAAGTTACTTGGGACAACTGGGAGATCATAGAACTAAACATTGCTTACAAGTGACAAACCATTCAGAAGAGTAGCTACTAAGACTACTATAGGTATTCAGGATGGTCCATAAACACTGCATTTGTAGCAAATGATTATTCTTGGGTGAAAGGCCAAGCTATTTTGAGAATAATAAGCATCATCTTTTGGCAGAAAATTAAACAAAATAATAGAATTCATGACACTAATTTTTCTTTTGGAATATCATCATTTTCTATTTCCTCTTGCTCCAACTGGGATCAAAGAGGACCTAGGGGAAAGATTACCCAGTTTTGCATTTGAACCTCTACGGTGAATATTGGTTTGATTAAATTGAGTTACGACCGTGACAACCTCACACTGAGCAATGTCAAACAGTTTCCTTCTGTAGATTTTGTTTTTCATGCAAGAACATTTTGTGTTTGAAGATTTTCTTTCTTCCAACAAGATAGACATCTGGTAGAAATATATTCAGTGCAGTGATTCAAATGTGAATGGACACAATTTGTCTAATTTGTTTACTGACTGAGTGAAAAAGGTAAAACTAAAATTCCTACTTGACAATAACAATCTACTTGTCTGAAGCTATATTCTGGGCAATCAAAATAAAAAAAAAAACACATTGCAAAATATATTTCTTAAGTAACACTATGACATTAAAACAATACATAAACAGATGTGATAGCATATATTGGGTATGACGCCATCACTCATATATTTATGGAATCAGAATTAAGGCTGTTACCTTTAGAAATTGAAGTTATAGCTGTTGAGTTTTATTACCTTAATGTTTGCCTGGGTCTATAAGGACTCATTTCCAATATTATTGCTAGAAGTACATTAGATATCTTCTCCCTTATTAATGAATACTAATGGCAACATAGCAATAACAAACATGCAGATTTGTAGTATGTAAAGCAGTACTTTATTCTGTACCTCAAATAAGACGTCGAGGACCTCCTTGACATGCGGCATATTTATTCACTTGACATAGTTATAAAAGATAGTAATGTTCTTGCTTTTAACAAACTAACTGAAATGTTTATGCAAATAAAGATTTGCTTAACTCCAGGCTGTAGGGCAGTGTTTCTCAACCTCAGCAACTTTAAGATGCCTGGCTGGGGAATTCTGGGAGTGGGCCGTTGAAGTCCAGACATCTTAAGGTTGCTAAGGTTGAGAAACACTGTCGTTGGGTGTGCTATAGATACTCAGTCCCAAGAAATCAAGGAGAGGATGGCCTGGAAGATAGCTTCAACAGCAGCAGCACTCTCCCTGTTGCAAGTTCTGCCCCTGCTCCTGAGGTCAGGATGGCCCCAATCCTATTGTCATGCAAGAAGTGCTATTTTTCAGGGCCTTCAAATTGGAGGTTCTCAATAGTTGACATCAGCAGAGGAAAACGTCCTTATTTTGATTTTATTATATGGATTGTATTAGTGTGTTCTTAGCTCTACAATCTGCCTAGAGTCCAGGGAGTGGATGGCATACAGATAGCTGGAGGAAATAAACGAACATGGTGGGCTTAGAATCAGTGGGGTGAGTTTTTAAAAGGACAGGAAGACCAAGCTCCGTTTTTAACTTTCTTGTGCCTGGTCTTTCATGGGAGGAACACGGCAGCCTTTTCTTGGCTGGCTCAAAGTTCCCTGCAATTGGGAACGGGAGAGATAAATAATGCATTGCAATGTAGGAACTAGAAGCAAATTAGAACCATAATTTTGTTTTGTATGGAAAGATCTGAGATTTGTGGTCTGTTGTTTTATTGTGTTTGGGTGTGTGTGTGTGTGTGTGTGTGTATTCCTGGCTGGAAGAACATTCCCTGAGATGGGCCTGGCAGAATCTATTGTTATTTTTGAATTTTTTCCCCCTCTCTTTGTCTTTCAATACCTGACCACTTCTGTAATCTTGATATACATAATAAAACCCCCCTTTTTGACACTGAATTGACACTTCCATGCCGAAAGGGCTTTAACTTTAGCCTACTCTCTGTGCGTGGCTAAGCTACTGAGCAAAGGCAGAATAGGATTTCTGTTTTACTCAAGAGTGAACTGGCACAGAGAAGGGCTCCTCTGAAATAAAGTGGGCTTGTGGTAGAACTTACTGAGGAAGCTGTCCCCGGGTCTTGGGGAAAGAACCGGAGTGTTGTAGGTGGTGGATCTGCGTATGGAACTAGGTCCCCAGTCCACCACATCCCTGGGTGCTTGCGTGCTCGAGTATACTTAATTACCACAGGGAACCTAAGTCTTAGAAGGTGTCATGTTTTCTTCTACCATGTTACATGCATCTCATTATACAGTATTTGTGCTTATGCTTTATAAGACCAAAGGATCTGTATTAGACATTGATATTATTTCATGTGTAATCTGAAATTGGGGTGAGTAACAAATTATTAAGAGTGCAAAGGAGTCAGGAAAACTGTGATAATTCTGAAAAGGACCTTTCCAGACTGGGTGAGTGGGCAGAAATTACCAGCTGATCATGCACATTAGTCTTAATTTGATCTACACACTGAATGTGTCTTAGCCCCTGTGACTGTGTAGGAAAGATGAATGAAGATTGTAGTGGACAGTTCAAGAGAAAGATCAATTCAGGTGGCAACCATAGTGAAAAATAATATTGCATGGTGTAAATCTGTAAGGGAGGGACTGGAAATGACATGATCAACATCATAGTACCTTCAAAAACTGCAAAGCCAAATCAGTGATCCAGCTACTTTCCTGAGGGTGTCATTGCCTACAGAGACCCACTTGGATGTAGGAGAAAGGCCTTTCTTCTGCATCACTCCAAATTGCAGAATATACGGTCCAGAATCACAGTTGGCTAAAACTTTCTTAGCTTTTAGAGAAAAACTTTTTTATTTCGTCCTTTCAGTTACACGATTGCTACGTTGTTTGCATGTTCTAATTATTTTATTGACTTTTAAAGTTTTTTCTATTTCAACTGTTGTGAACCGCCTTTGTAAGGGCAGTATCAGATATTCATAATAAAATAATTTAGCCATTAAGATAGCAGCTTCATATGTTTTGAACTAGCCTATGACTTTTGGCTTTTAGTAGAATCCTGCTTTTAGTATCTATCACAAGTATGTTCTCATTTCACAGGTTTGTGCATAAACATCAGCTACAGCCAGTGTGAAATGCTGCCCTATAACCTGACCACTCTAACATCGGTTCTCGCCATTGTCAGAAGCATTGAAATGGAAAAATTTCTCAAGTTCTTTGGCTATCTCAACCGCCTCGGCTGCTATCAACACATTATGCTGTTCGGATGTAGCCTTGCTCTTCCTGAGTGCATCAGCGATGGCGTCAACAGGTATTCGGGAGCCCACATTGGTGATTAAGGGTGGTTACAGCAGATTGATGCATACCTAATCATGGCAATGCAGTATGGTGCTAAGCTTTACAATCCTGGATGAAACTCACAGCTAAGCCTGTTTACAAGAGAAGATTGCCAGGAAAAAAATAGCTGCAAGCAGTATTATATAGCATGTTTCTTTAGGAAGAGCCTAACTGTAGTATTATACTACCTTGAATAAAGCAAGCTTGGTGAATAATCTTATTAGAGATTATGGGTTGTGATTTTGGCACAGATGTTTCTAATCCCCATTTAATATAATGACAGAATGAATAATATAACATTTTGGAAAGGGCTATTGAAACCAACTGTTGTCTTCCACAAATGCTTCAGTGTAGATGAATTTTTCTATTTGAATTAGCTGTTGTCTAGCTGAAGATGGTATTCTTGCACCTTTAATAGCTACGCTCCAGAAAGTTCACATTCTTACAACATTAGTTCTGATCACATGATTTCTTGGCCCACAAATTTTAGCAAAAGAATTCAAAATAAAAATACATACAAGTGCGCATAGTAGAATTGAGAGGCGATTTCTGTCTTTGTCCTAGTGTGGTCCAAGTTTTGAAGTACAGTGTCCGAGCCTAATGCACTATGGGGCCCAAGCAAAGAGACAAGGCTTCTTGCAGTCAAGTCAGGGAAGTACAGGAAATTGGGCTGTTACGGAAGATGTTCTAGTGCAGCTCCAGTGGCAAGAGCCAGATGAGCTGATGAAAACAGCCTACTCCTGAGTAGATCATCTCTCCTAAGGGGCTTTTCCATGCAACCTCATTTCTCCACCTCTCACCTGTTTGGCTTTTAATCCAGTAGCATCAGTTGGCTCTTGTGGGCCAGTCAAAACTCCTCATCAGTACACAGTCTGCTATTGCAAAATTAGCAACAGCAAGGCATGATTCCGTCTCATCCTTGATACCAGGGTCTGGTTCCTCATAGTCTGGTCTCCTTGTCTGCTCTCCTTCTATCATCCAGTGAGGATTTATATGTCAAGAAATTCTGGGAGTATATGCCATGCATTATTTTGAACAAGCCAGTGTATTAGCCATGGAATAGATAGTGGGCAGTTCAGAACGCTATAGTTCCCTTCTGCCTTTCTGAATAGTTCGGCCATCCTCATGTTAAGAACATCCGACACTGTGATGAAATGCAAACGTTGCAGCAGTTGGCTTGTGTCTGTTAGCAGAACATGAAGTTATGTATTCCAAAAGTGAAAAATACTTGCTCATTTGCAACATAATTAGCACTGATTCACAAATAATATTTTCATGCAATGACTCATTTTTATATGATTACTTGATGGAATGCCCGCTGGGTAATCCCAGTGATTGCACAGAGATGTTAATTACAATATTGGATTCATTTGGATACCATCCAAAGTTGCCCTACTGAATTGACTAGAGCTAACTTCCCCGGTACATAGTCTGGGATTATTGCACGCTTGTCATGCGGAGGCTGGATTTTTAAAAAGTCATCCTTGTCTTCTTGATTCCCTGTCTTGGGATGATATGCTACCAGGACACCAGCTCTTGTCCATGATAGCAATTTTTGTTTTTCGGTCTCACTGATGTGGGTGGGTCAGTCATCAGTCATTGAACATATGCATTTATAAAAAAAGAAATAACAGGACTAAAATTCTTTGGGCCCCAAGATTCCACCTCCCCGGCTGTGAAAATTGAGAGCAGGTGGGAGAAAGTAGGGGAAAGGGAGGAGAGTCACACACGGGTGTCTTCCTGCCACAGCAGCAAAGAGTTCAAGCCCACAAGGGTCTCACCTCACCTCCATAGTCACCACGAAGCATCTCTTCGCTGATGGAGCAGAGGAGGGAGAGGGGGCTGCTCCTGATTGAAGCAACAGCTAACTTTGGAGTGACAGCCGAGGAAGAGCTGGTGTAGCCCTTCACAGCAGCACCTCTTCCCCTCTTCCCTTCCTCCCCTGCGGCTCCTATCAGGGCTTTAAAACATTTTTTTTTAAGATTGAAGGAATGGAGCAAAAGAAAGGCTGGAGTCATTCTGCCATCCCTTCCTTCACAATCTGTATGCCCCAGTACAGAAATCAGCCAAGTTCATCTTTCCTCACTGGCCAGACAAGGCCCATTCTTTTGTAAATATAGCAGTCTATTTTTAATGCATTTCATTGTTTAAAGACATGTATGGAGTGCACTGTTCAGATACAAGAATGTGAGGTAGAAAATGAAACTTTGGAGATTAAGCAAATTTGGCCTGAAATTTTTTCTTGAAAGTCTCCTATGCAAAAGTTGGGCTATTTTGTAACTTAAAAAAAAACTAGATAAATATTTTATGTCTGATTTGAGTTTACGGGTTACCTGTTATTTGAGTATAATATTCAGTATGAGAATAGTTAACAATGATTAATAGTATTCAGTGTTAGACAAAGTTTATTACATATAACTTAAACCCATTCTTTCATTTCATGGTTTTGATATTTTGTGTTTTATGCCTTCCAGAACAAATGAAAAAATACTTTTTAAAGTCTTACATGTATTAATACTTATATTTATTATTGTTTTTAGCATTTAGAAAATTATGTTAGAAGCATTTCAAACTGAAATAAAGCAATGAAGCAAAACCGTGGACTTTCTGATCATCATAGACATTACCAAGTTTCCCCAGCATGATGCTCTGTAGATGTCTTGGGATCAACTTCCAAAATTCCTAACCATTAACATGGTTATGACTTATGACCATCATAGCGTCCCCACAGTCACGTGATCAGAATTAGGGTGCTTAGCAGCCAGCATGTATTTATGACAGTTTCAGTGTCCTGGGGTCATGTGATCACCGTTTGCAACCTTCCCAGGGGGTTTCCAACAAGCAAAGTCAATGGGAGAAGCCAGATTCACATAACAACTGTGTGATTTGCTTAACAACTGTGGTAAAAAAAGTTGTAAAATTGGGCGTGACTTACTTAACGACCACATCACTTAGCGACAGAAGTTCTGGTCCCAGTTGTGGTTGTAAATTGAGGACTACCTGTAATAACTACCAACATATAACAAGCCTATTCATGTCTGTTCAGAATTAAGTTCCATTCACTTTATTGGAATTTATGCATTTAATCAGAGGATTACTGTTTTATTTCAGAAATTAGATATAAAATAATAGAAACATAATGTTTTAAAATAAAGGAGACTCACACCACTCATTCCTGTGAAATATCAGACCCATGATTTAAAGTTATCAGGAAATGGTGCTGAAGTGACAAGTGAGAACCACATCATGAATAAGGTTATTAAAAGCTTCTTGAAGTGCCTGGGAGTTAGGGTATGTGTCAGATAAAGAGTAGTAACAAGATAGAAGGTTGAGTGATAAGGGCTGCTGACAAGGAGGTTCTGTATGTGAAATGGAGAACTAAGTTACAGATATGGGAGTCTGTAGAAATAAATGACTGCTTCTAACTATAATTGTCAAGAATCAATTAGCATACATGTATTGACAACAGTCAAAACGCATTCATCACGAACATGAGTAATTTAGTTATTTAATTCTTTAAAGGTTTATTATGTTATTACTGATGTGTTCCTTGAGAAAATAAGGTAAATTTTCCTATGTCAGGCTTGATGGACTTCATGGACACATGAAGCAACCATTCAGATGGCCATCTTCTGGAAAGTTTTTTGAGATAGTAGTCTACAGTCCTGATATTCTCTGGAGATTTCCCATCTAGCTGGAATTAGAAATCTGAACTTATTTTATTGAAAGCTATTATGCACAAGTTTCCATGCATTTTATTGTCCCAAATTAGAAGCAGGAAAGCTTGGTCAAAAGTTCTCTTTTCTTCCATTGTTATAGTAAAATCCTTGTTCTGGTCCTATCACAGCGCAAAAAAAGAAGGGAGCTCCTGAAGTCCCTCATAGACAAAGGGTTGGACAGGTTGTCTCTTTCTTGGCAGTGTCAGTCACCAGAAAGGCCTATTGAAAGAATAAATCTACCCAAGGTAGTTTCAACCAATAATTTCATTAATCCAGCAGGCATGATAAAATTGGAGGAAGCCAATTCCAGCAGCCAGTGTGTTTCAAAGCTGAATTAGTTATTCTTCAAGCTTTGTACATCACACATAATGATGTGTAGCAGGTGTGAGTACAAAACTGAAAAAATGCTTTGGTTTCAAATCCAGACCAAACCATTGTGTTCCAGAAATTCTGCTGTACTGTTCTGGCAGAAACAACATCCAGAATATTTTGGACAAAACAAAATCCAAATGGGGCAAGTAGAGCAAGCGTGGTGTGCATTGTCCCATCTCTCCATGCTTCCCCTTCCACAGCTCTGAGTGTGGCATTTCCCACCAGGCTGCCCACCCCTAAGAAACCTTCTCTTTCCCCTCTTCCATCAACTGCTCATGGTGAAGCACACCATCTTTCCAGTTCTTTCCCATATGAGCTGAAAGCACGTTCTAGAGGATCTGTCCAGAACCGGATGCCTTCTAGATTATTGGACTACAGCTCCCATCATCCCCAGCAATTTGGTTGGGGAATACCATTGTACTGGACTCCTCTGCATTGCACAGGACTTCCCAGCCAGTCAAGATAATGCTGGAATGCACTACTGATTGGTAGTCAATAACTATTTTGCATTGTCACCTCAAATTGGAAAGAACAAATATGAATTATGACTACATGCACTAAACTCACATGAAGGGAAAAAGCTTTTTTATTTCTGATACCTTCATTTTCCACATGTGAAGGTCTCAATGTGCCCCAACATAGGGTAGCATTCCAAAATCTAATGATGACATATCTTTGGAGTAAGGAACCCATCCAAACAGTGGAGGCTGCGTCCGTAGGCTGAAACCTAAATAAAAGCAAACTTCTTGCTGGAAAGAAATTTACCCCCTGCCCCCAATGAGTTTACCCTGCTTTTAAGTTGCTTTCTGGGAATAGGTACTATAGGTAAATAATTCTGTGTATTCCAATCCTCCAGACGTGGGCTCCGTGCATACTGGCTCCT